GGTGATACATAATAAATATATTTTAAAATACATATTTTAATTTGTTATATATATTAGATATAGATACAGATATATATTCTATCAGTTCTGTTCTTCAAGAGAACCCTAATACAGGAGGGTATCTGAGAGAGGCTAGAGGGGAGAGGAAAATTATATAAATTATTTTTATTTAAAAATGTATTAAGAATAAGTATCACATCATAAAAATTTTTAAAGACATCTTTTAGACATGCCATGTCCATTGTTCTCATAAATTCACTGGAGCTGTAGTTACCCACCGAGGATTTGCACAAGATTGAGCCCATCAACATTTGTTGTTTGTATGATCTTCTATTGCTGAAGTGTGGCTTTGAATCCTCAACTATTATTGTATTGCAACAAAAACAATATCATATTTGTAGCAATACTTCCATCAAAAGCTATTTTGAATGAATATGGGAGAGACTCATAAACACACACACACGTGCGTGTAAGAGAAGGAGAAACCTATTCTGGGGGGGAAAGATTACAAATGAAAAAGGAGGAGTTTGAAAAAAACTTGAAAATGACTAAAATTCCTTAAAAGCATGTAAAACACTGTCAATAATAAAAATGTAACAAAAGCAACACCATCTGGATAGGCCAAACAGAATAAAGAGACCTCAGCATTTAATTATAATCTAGACGAAATGAGCCTAACAGATATATATAGGCAACTGCTTCCAACAACTGCTAAATACACATTTTTTTATCAGCACGGAGAATATTCTTGATATTCAAGATAGATCATATAATAGGTCACAAAATAAGTCTCAACACATTTTTAAATTGAGATTACACTGAGTATCTTTGCTGACAAAAATACAATAAAGCTAGAAATCAATAACAAAATACTTTAGAATTATACTAATACACAAAAAATTCAATGTATCATTGGGCATTAATAGAGCAAGAAAAAATCAATAAGGAATTTTTTCTGAAAGATGTGGATGGAAACAAAGTTACAACATATCAAAACCTCTGGGAAGCAGCAAAATCTAGGCAAAAAGTGACATTTGTGGCAATTTAAAAAGTAAAAAGACATTAGATAAATAATCTATCACTGCATCTCAATGAGCTAACAAAAAACAACACATTAAATTTAAAGCTATTATCGATAACAAAAGAACAAAATATCTAAACTAAAACAAAATAATATGAAGGATCAATGAAAAAAAGAACCATCTCTTCCAATAACTAAGTTAAGAAAAGAAAAAAAACTGAAACAGAATAAGTGATGAAAAGGGAAATAGAGTTAATATCACAAAATAGTCATTAGAAATTATGAACACATGCAAAGAAATGGTTGCTCTAGAAGAAACTTGCAAATTACTAGATACATATATTTTATCAAAACTGAATCAGGGGGGCTGGAGAGATGGCTCAGTGGTTAAGAGCATTGCCTGCTCTTCCAAAGGTCCTGAGTTCAATTCCCAGCAACCATATGGTGGCTCACAACCATCTGTAATGGGGTCTGGTGCCCTCTTCTGGCCTGCAGACATGCACACAGACAGAATATTGTATACGTAATAAATAAAATAAATATTAAAAAAACTGAATCAGGAAAAATTTGAAAACCTGAACAGGCAAATAAAATATAATGAGATTGAATCAACTGGAAAAAAAAAAACTGTCACAAAAAATAGTCCAGAACCGGGTGGTTCCATCATTAGGTTCAACAGACCATTTAAAGAGTTATCCCCATCCCCAAAAAGGAAGCAATTCTTCTGAATACATTCTATGAAGCCAGCATCACTCTGAAACCAATAATAGATAAAATCATAACAAAAATAAATAAATGAAAAAGAAAGAAAACTACAAAATACCTTTGGTGAACAAAACTCAAGAAAACACAACCAAATCTAATACAATAGCACATTAAAAAGATTATTCACAGGGTTGGAAATATGGCTTAGCAATTAAAAGCACCGGCTATCCTTGCAGAGACCCGGATTCAATTTCCAGCACTCACATGTCAACTCACAACCATCTGTATGTAACTCGAGCTCCAGCAGATCTGACATTCTTTTCTGGTCTCCAAGGGCACCCAGGACAAAGATACAGACATATATGCAGACAAAAAAAAAAAAGCGTGCATACAAAATAATAATAAAATTTCTTAAAGATTATTCACAACTAAATAGTATTCATCTAATAATGCAACGATAGTTCAATATATACATATTAATGAACACAATAAACAACATCCAGAGATTTAAAATCAAAAACTACATGTTCCTCTCAATTGATACAGAAAAGTTATCCAATAAAATTCAACATCTTTCATCTTTAAATTCCTGAACAAATTAAGTACACAAGTAACTTTAACATGATTAAGACCATTTTAGAACAAGCCATCAATTAATATTATATTGAATTAGGAAAAGTTGAAAGTTTTTTTTATGAGATCTGGAACAAAACAAAAATACCTACTTTCACTTTTATTCAGCATAGTGCATGAGGGCCTAGACAGAATCGTCAGAAATGAGGGGGGAAATGTTATTCAAATTGGAAAACAAGTCAAACTGCTCTGTTTATAGATCAACCAAAATTATTAGTAATAAATGAAATCATCAAAGTTGTAGGATATAAAATCAGTATTCAGAAATGGTAGTATTGTTAGTTTTAGTCACACTTTTCGGTGGTTTAACAACTATCTGATGCATGAAGAGGGAGGAAAGATTTATTCTGTCTCATAGTTACAGAGTTTCTCCATTTTATCATGGTGAGTGGGGGTGGGGTGATAGTGCAGAGCAGCTCACAACACATTGAGATGGCCAGGACAAAGAGAGAGAGAAAAGAGGAGAAAAGAAAAGAGGGGAAATGGGATGAGACAGGTGAAAAGATGAAATTTTCTGCTAGTTAACCCTGTCTGAAAATACCCTTCAGATTCACTCTGAGATATGTTTTATTAATCTCCTAGGTAATTCTCAAACCAATTAAACTGACAATAAAAAATTATCATATACCAATGGTAAATTACTTGAAACAGAAATCAAGAAACAAATCTTATTAATAAGCTCTACACAAAGTAAAATACATATTAACAAATTTAGGTGAACGAGCTCTAATCTGAAAATTATAAAACATTATTGAAAGAAGTTGACAAAGGACACAAAATTTTATAAAATATTCCTGGATTGAAAAAAATCAATATTGTGAAAATTTCTACATTAAAGAGTCACAGATTGAATATAATCTTAGCAAAATACTAATGACATTCTAAATATCTGGAGAGATGGCACTATGGTAAAGAATACTTGCTGCTCTTGCAAAGGACTTGAATTTCAGTTCCAATAACCCACATTAGGTGCCTGCTACTCCAGATCCTGAGGAGTTTCTAGCTTCCTTGAGCACCTACACACATGTGCTATTCTCTCTCAGAGATACACACATGCACACGCAAAGAAAAAAAGATTTAAAATACCAATGACATTGTTCACAAATTTCAAAAAGTAATCTAAATTTTATATGGAATCACAAAAATAATAGGACAAGCAACTTTTTGCAAAAGGAACAAAGCAGAAAGTGCAATGCTGTCTGGCTTTGAAAAGTTGTAATAATCAAAACACCATGGTATTTTCATAAACACAAATACATACAGCAATAGAACAAAAAATAGCTGAGAAGTAAATCCATGCATCTGAAGCCAAGTGATTTTGACAAAGATGGTAAGGACACACACTGAGAAAAAGGTTTTTCTTTTTCAATAAATAGTGCTGAAATATTAGATATTCAAATGCATAAAAATGAAACTAGTTTTCAATTTCTCACATTACAAGAATCAACTCAAAATGTATTGAATACTGACATGAAGTACTTGAAATTATTAATCTTGAAGAAAACACAGGGAAAATGCTTCAGAACACTGCAATGAACAATGTTCTTCTTTAAAGCCTCTAAAAGAACAGGAAACAAAAATAAAAACAGACAAATAAGTTATATAAAGTTAAAAAGTTTTCATAAAAAAAGAAACACTTGATAGAGTGCAAAAACAGACTACAGAACAGGAAAATATTAGCAATGCATACCTCTGAAAAAGAGTTGATATTCAAAATACAGGAGGGATTTCAAAAACTCAATATCAAAATAAAAAATTACTCAATTAAAACTAAGCATTAAATCTAAACAGATGTGTCTCAGAATGAATGCAAACGATCATTAAAGGAATATGAAAATTATTCAATATAATTAATCATAAAATGTAAATCATAATAGAATGTCACTTCAACAAGGGAGGAAGGACTATTATCAAAAAGATAAACAGATACTTATCTGGGAGAGGAGATACCATGATCACTAAGGTGGTCTACCCAGATGAGGCTTATCCATTGCACTCAGGATGTGCTGACTCTCTGCGATTTCCCCAAATGTGGGAAAACTCAACTGTATAATTTGTGGTAATGGGAGCACTGAGTTCATGCTCTCCATGGGGCTGAGGGAACAAGACTAAAAATAACAAGTGCCTGTGCAGATGTAGAGTAAAAGGGAACCCTTGCACACTGCTAGTTACAATATAAATTAGGAGCGCTATTAGGGAAAACAATATGGATAGTCTTTTAAGAATGAGTTGGAAATAGAAAGATGCCTATGATACTTTGCTATTTGCACAAAAGGTATCAGATTAAAAGTACATTTTTGTATGTTTTTTAAAGAAATAGCAATAAATGCACATGCATATGCATGAATATTTTCATGTTTGAGCATAGAAATATTTAGACGATTATTTAATTAAGGACTTTTGTGTTTTTATTTAACTTTAATGAAAATGAACTATATTTGCAATTTTAACGGCAGAGAAATATTTAAATTAGTAGGAGATGTTTATGTTTAATGTAATCAAGAAGGAAATACACTAGTCTCCTGTCCGTTTTTTCATGCGCTCCTCTTACAAATAGTGTGGTGGAGCTAGTGTCGCATCTACGCGAAGAATTACAGTAACCCGGTTTTTGGTGATGAGTCAGAGTGCGTGGTGCTGATGCTGCTGCCATTTCATCACCTTTGCGAGCACAGCATCCATCCTTCCGCTCCCATAGAGCCTGGGCCTACCTTACTTCGGGCTACTGGGCCAGTGATGTGCTCGCGGCCAAGCCAAATAAGGGCTGATCGGAGCTAAGGCCTTGGTGGGGCGCCCCCTTCCGCCTCCCCAGGCCCGGGCCGAAGAGTTCTGCCAGGCCACGGACATGGAGGCCATTTGGCTGTACCAGTTCCGGCTCATTGTCATCGGCGATTCCACGGTGGGCAAGTCCTGCCTGATCCGCCGCTTCACCGAGGGCCGCTTTGCTCAGGTTTCAGACCCCACCGTGGGGGTAGATTTTTTTTCCCGCTTGGTGGAGATCGAGCCAGGAAAACGCATCAAGCTCCAGATCTGGGATACAGCGGGTCAAGAAAGGTTCAGGTGGGAGTGCTGCACGGGCCCGCGCGAGCAGTTGGGGGAAGGGGGCAGGGGGGTGTCTTTGGTGCTCATCAAGGAGAAAGGATTTCCTTGGTTCTTTTCGTGATGTCGCCGAGGTGACAAGCAAGGTTCCTGGGGCTTCTGCTCAAGCTCACTTTGAGCTTGCTAGGAGTTCAGTGCAGGAAAAGAAGCACCCAAGCAGTGGAAGGCCATTCATTATTAACACATTGTTTACACCACAACTCCATCAACCTGCTTTTTGGTAGCTAATGAATCATCTGGAATTGACTACTATATAATTCATCAAAATCAGAGCCCATGTTCCATAGTTTATAACAGTATTTTCAAGTCATCTTAATATGACTGGAAGCTGTAAGTAGGTAACTAGGTAGGTATGTAGGTAAGTAGATAAACTAGATAGATTAGATATATATTGACGTCTTTTTATATCTCTATTTATATTTGGAAGGGAGAGAGAGAGAGAGAGAGAGAGAGAGAGAGAGAGAGAGAGAGAGAGAGAGTCCTAATAAAGGAATTAGAGACTGATCAATTGATTCTCTCTTGGAACCACCATACATTCAATTTCCAGAGAGTGAAACTGTTTCTGAGAAAATAGTGTGAGGTTACTCACATAAGAGAATGCCATATAATATAATATAATATAATATAATATAATATAATAATATACAGAGCCCCTGACCTTTTGAGAACTTCAGTACTACTATAGTTGGAAGGAATACATACAGAGGCAACACACAAAAGAGCGTTTTGTTGTTTGTATTTATATGCCACTCCCTACTGTACCACTGGATACTTATTGGGCAATCAGTGAGTATGGTTATTTTTCTCTCACAATTCTTTGTTCTTCCTTTTAGTTTGTATTTGTGATTTTATGTATGGATACAGAGTTGAGAAGTTTAACTGGAGAAGGTGAAGCCCAAACAGAGATAGAAAATGCCCAGAGATGAGAAACAGCATGAATAAAAACAAAACTGACAGAAAACAAACTACATAAAAAGTTTGCAGAGAACAGTTTAAACTAAAGTAAGGTAGAGCAGCAGGAACCAGAGCAAAAGGATTCTATACCCCTATATTTATATCATTTACTCATTCTCTGCTGAACATTAGTTGAGCATAGAAGGTACCAGTTAGGTCACTGAAGCAGGATACAGGTAATAAATACTTACAAACTTAAGTTGCCTCTAACTTCTCACTTGTACAAAGCTTTGGCAAATACTTTATACAAGTTCTCATAAATAAAGAAAAGTATCTTGTATATGTTTACTGGGGTCTTTGTTTGAACAGCTTGTTTATATTTATTACTCATTATGTATTATGCAGTATTGATTTTAGGACTTCTTTATATACTAAAAATAATAACCCCAACACCAACAGTGGTGGCACATGTTTATAATTTCAGCCCCCTGAATGCTGAAGCAAGAGGATGATGAGTAGTTGAAGGCCAGCCTGGACTTCTGTCTAATAAAAATATTAACCATTTTATGTCATTTATGTTGTAAGATATTTCCCCAGTTTGTCATTTATTTTTTCATGTTATGATTTTTTTTATTCAGGGAAGAGGTCTAGTTCTGTGTGCTTTATGTTATGCTTAAAACATTTTGATCCTTTCTGTGCTAAATACAAATTACTAATGCATAAATATATTCTAGGGCTTTGACTGATTGCTCATTGATTTCTCAAAGCAACATTTTCACAAATTAGAACTTTTTCTGACATAACTATCTTTCTGAATGAATCTTCAAACATAAAGAAATTAGGAATATTTTAATTCCCCCGGGGTTAATCTCGCTGGTTCTGGAGACTTGAACTCATTTGTAAGGCCTACCCATACCATCTTTTTCTTGGACTGCAATTCCCTAGATATTTCTCCATTAACATTGGCCATTTTTTCATAAATTTTCAGCCATAGAGCTCTTCATTATTTATCATACCCATCTTAGAAGACAGAAATCCTAAATATAGACATATATTTCAAAAATGACAATAGTCTAAAACAAGTGATTGTAGAGGCAAATTGTTCTACATCTTTTCATAATCTCCTACATTCTTAAGCAAAATACAATAATATATATTAATAATATATATTTATAATGAGGGTCATCAACTCAAGAAATTAAAATATGTGATGTTTCTTCTGTTTGAGAATTACCATAAATATACAAGTAGGCTTTAGAAATAACCTAATTACATGATTCAAATTAAATAATATTACTTGATGGGAATGCTTTGACTATTTTGGCAGATTCTCCCAGCTAGTACTTCCTCAACCAACCTCTCTGAATTTTGTCAATGTGTAGTGATGTTAGGCATTTTTCTCCAGAACAATTTTTAATATTTATTATTTTATTTTATGTGTATGGGTGATTTGGCTACATAGATGTCTGTGAATCATGTGAGTGCCTGGTGGCCATAGAGGCCAGAAGAGGATGTCAGATCACCTGGAACTGGTGTTAAAGACAGTTCTGAGCTGCCATGTGGGTGATGGAAATCAAGTTCTAGTCCTTTGGAAGAGCAGTCAATGCTCATAACTACTGAGCCATCTCTCTAGCCATGGCCCAGAACATTTTACCATCCATATTTTTTCATTCCCACATGGCTTGGGAAATAAAACAAGATTGTTTTTTCTCTTCATAGAAGTTATTGGTGATATCTGATAGAAAAAAATAGCAATAATGAAAACAAAGAAATGGAGTTATGGTAAATAGAAAAATGAAATATCTTGCAAGATATTTTTCTTGGTTCATCAATTATATTTATAATCTCTATTCATTATAGTAAAATCATCTTATTCTTGAAAATTCTTTTAAACTACTAACACTTTCCCCATCAAAAAAACACTTTAATGCCCATTATTTCATTTTGCTTTATGATTACTCTATAACTCAGATGCCTTATTTTGCAAATTATGTTTTAGTTATTCAGATTTGGAAGCAGGGGAAATAATTGTGGTGAAAAATAGAACTCAGTCATTTCCTAGGGGTTCTTTCAATGTCTGGATCAAGGGAAAACACCTGAAAGTTCATGAGCATTCATTTCTAGGAAGGGTTATCTTAACATTTTACCCAATTGAAAATTTATCGTTATTGTTATAAAATGGCATTTATATTTACTAAAAGACTGTCAGTAACCAGGAACACTAGCATACACTGAGTTCATTGGAGTGAAGGAGTTTGGGCACGAACTTTATTCTTTACTTCTTTCTTGTGTTTTAGATCCATCACTCGCGCCTACTACAGGAATTCAGTAGGTGGTCTACTCTTATTTGACATTACCAACCGCAGGTCCTTCCAGAATGTCCATGAGTGGTTAGAAGAGACCAAAGTACACGTTCAGCCCTACCAAATTGTATTTGTTCTGGTGGGTCACAAGTGTGACCTGGATACACAGAGGCAAGTGACTCGCCACGAGGCCGAGAAACTGGCTGCTGCATACGGCATGAAGTACATTGAGACGTCAGCCCGAGATGCCATTAATGTGGAGAAAGCCTTCACAGACCTGACAAGAGACATATATGAGCTGGTTAAAAGAGGGGAGATTACAATCCAGGAGGGTTGGGAAGGGGTGAAGAGTGGATTTGTACCAAATGTGGTTCACTCTTCGGAAGAAGTTATCAAATCAGAGAGGAGATGTTTGTGCTAGTCAACCCTTATATTTTCAAAAAATACTCTCCCATTTGAACTTAAAAGTTACCGAAATAAATAGAATCCTTATGTGACTGAAGAGAACTCAATCTTTGAATAACAAATGAGCCTTCTTCCTAGGGGTGGAGCTCTGACAGGTTCATGTGTGGGTAGATAGGGAGTCCAGGTGCTGTGATTGAGGGACTAAATTGCTGACATGGGCTAGATTAGACATTGTTTTATGGCCCAGGCTTGGCAATGATTGCTCTGTGTGCCCTTTGTGAACCACATATTAAGGGTCTGGGGTTTTGGAAGTTAGGTTCCAGGAAAACATATCTACAGAGAGAAAAACTGTTCCTTGGTATTTTAACTTTGCAGATGTGGTGACCATAAAGAAACATGTAGAAGGAAATCAAGTATCAAATTGAGGACAATTAGAATAACTGAAAGAAGAGTATGGTATCAATTTATTCAATGATAATACCATGCCAGATGTGTCCTGGGTTTGATACAAACACATTAATTCACTTTTAACAGTTCAACTGTAAAATGAAAGGCCCATATGAATTATCTATTCAGTAAGGCCCTTACAAGGTTGAGCAGTCTAGTAAAAATGATGTGATTATGAAAAGGGAAGTCATTCACACCTTGCTATTAATCACATTTGAGAAAGTGTACACTCTCAAGATAGAGTTACGAACTGTGTGAAAGAAACTGTCCCGTGTAAAATGACCATGTATGTCCTCTAACCATACCTGGACTTTCACTGCATCAGCGAACTACAATCTGAAAGGAAGCATACTGTCTGCTTCTTTAGGCACTGACAGTGACAACACAGAGATTGTCTACAAAGAACCCTGAGTCAAGTCCTTGATCATTGGTTCTGTACTGAATATTTGCTCAACATGTGGCCCTGGAACCCTTAAAAATCCTGCATATTGATTTACTTCACCTATTTGATCACCGTAATAGTCCTGTGAGATTTTTATTTACCCCATTTTACAGAATAAGAAAGCAAAAACCAAGTCTACCTGATTCCTAACTTTTTTCACTGGATCATAATGCTGTTACATGAATAAATAATTAGTTAGCTTTGGAAGTCATGTGATTATAAATTAATGTTCTCTACATGATAGGATATGTTTTCCTTATTGTTTTACAGCTCAACTATAATCCTGCAGGAATCTAGGAATGAATCAAAGGTAAAGCCCATTCAGGTATTATTGACAAGAGGGCATTAAATAAGGGATTAACTGCACATCTGAAAACACATTAAAACTGTGTGGGCTAAGTGTTCTTCTCACAAACTAAACATTTTATTGAAAGGAACCAAATACAACAATGGGGAGTGGGATGCGGATAAAGTACTCATCCCACAATAACCTTGGCCACCTGTCTGCTATGTACCTACACTGGGTTCCTGTCTACCCGAGAGAGTCAGCTCTTAATTCTCAGGTGAACAGACAGCTAACCACATCAGCAAATTAGAATGGCTGACATGAAAATTTAATTATCTTCTTGAAAAGAAGTGATGCTTTAAATTACTTTTTGGATTGTAGCCAGTTCAGCTAGGCAAAAGCCATACTTTTCACAGTAAGAAAACTATTCTGATTAGAGTCAAGTTTCTCATATCCGTTGTGGTAGAAAGATCGGCAAACTGTTTTTGCAATATCCTATTCAAGTTCAGTATGAATATGTGTGCATCAAAAAGTCTGGGAATTTGTTTCAGCTAAAATAAACCAAATAATACAAGAGCATATTGCCACCTTTGCTCCAATTTGGATAACCAAATCATCTTAGACCAATTCACATCATCAACTGCAGGTGAAGTGGTCATTTATTCTATATTCATTTCACACAGTTTAAATTGCCAGCTTCTTGGTTGTAGAAGGCAAGGCAAACAACATTTTTTGTGAGTTGACACAAAATTTCAACAATTATACTTGTGTCTAGATTGTTCCAAAGTTAGGATTATCCTGTGGATAAATGAGAGTTGACTATATTCTTGTCAACTTAGAAAAGGGTGTGGGGTGTAGAAATAAAACATGTCTACAGCTTTCTTGACAAAACTACATTAATATACTTTCCCATTCCTGACTTTTTTAAAATGCGGGTTTCAAAATACCCAACATAGATGCAACAGAGGTGGCTGAATTTAACTGCTTGAATAAATTCTAGAAAAATCTTAAAATCATTTTAGTAGAATTCAGTACTATTGTCACTGCAATAAATGGGTTTTAGAAAATAAGTGTGAAAAATCAGGTGTTCATAGAATACTGAGGATAAAGCTTTAGAAGCTATTTTCCTACATAGGTAAAGAAAAGATTAACTTGTAACAATGATCACAACTGCATGTTGGATTAGACTGTCTTATATACCAGAACAAAATGTACTGTATTCTTTGCCTCACTTTGTTGTGCACTGTAATGAAATGTGAAAAATTCTTTATTTAGATGTATGTGAATGAAAATGCTTGTATTTAGTAAAATGGTTGATTATGTGACTGTGAGATTCCACATGTGTGTTGTAGCTATTTTTAGAATGTGTCCTTTTATTGTAGCAAAGAAAGATACCAGTAAGATACCAATCAGGTACTCTAAAGTATACTAATATGATATTACATACTTTGCATAAATAGAGCCATCAGTATCTGAAAGCCAAAGAGAGGACACAATTTATTAAAGGTATATGATTCTCATGTTGAAAACCACAGAAATCTCACTACTTCATTTTTAGCCCAAGCCTCTATGTAAAAAGTTGAATCTGTGAAGCATAAAACTTCCAACATTATGATTTCCAATCAAGAATTGTAATTCTTTCACCAGGTGAGTAGTTAATTACAACTATTGTCTTCACTGAAAATTCTTCTTCAAGCTAAATTGATTTGTTTTTTTTTAAAAAAAAAAAAAAAAACTACTGTGGCACACTGTATCATATGAGGAACACTGCAAGTGTGGGGACCAGTTGAAACATAGTCATTTAGCACATTTTCCAAGGTGGATATTGCACATCTGAGAAAAATGGAAGAGAAATCTTTGATTCTGGATCTAGCCATACACAGGCTAATCTCAGCACAGCTTTATCACTTTTACAGTCAAATAAATTAAGTGGGGATGGGGGTGAGAAAAGAAGAAGTAAAATATTAACAAAAAACAGCATTTCATAGTTTTCTACTCTCTTAAAATTTTCTCTAGGCTTTGTCATCTTTATTTATATCCTTTGGTAATCTCAGCCATTCTGTGGTTTAAAAGACCATCTGTAAGCCAGTAAGCCCTGGACTGGTGTGTCCAGCTCATTTATTACCCATGGACTCAAGACTTTTTTTTACTTTACATACCAACCACAGTTTCCCCTCCCTCTTCTCCTCCAGTCCCCTCCCCCCACCTCCTTTCTACTGTCCCCCATCTACTCTTCTGACTCCATTCAGAAGGGGTAAGGTCTCCCAAGGGAGGCAACAAAGCATGGAATATCAAGTTGCGGCGAACCAAGCTGCTACCCCTTGCGTAAAGGCTGGGTAAGGCGTCCCACCATAGGGATTAGGTTTTAAAGAGCTAGCTCATGCTTCAGGGACAGGTTCTGGCCCCATTGCTAGGAGCCCCACAAAGACCAAGCTACCTGTCACCCACATGCAGAGGATCTAGTTCGGTCCCATGCTAACTCCCTTGCTGTTAGTCCAGAGTCCATGAGCTCCCACAAGCTCAGGTCAGCTGTCTCTGTGGGTTTGTTTCCCTGTCATGATCTTGAACCTCCTTGCTCATGAACCTTGATAGTGGGGGCCATTATGGTGTTAGGGAGAAACCTAGTGCCAGGGAAACTGCCAGGAACCCACAAGGTAAGACTCCTAGCAATAGTGGAGACGGTGTCAGAATTGCCCTTCCCCTGTAATCAGATTAGTAACTACCCTAATTTTCATCATAGAGCTTTTGTTCAGTAACTGATGGAATCAGATGCAGAGATCCACAGCCAAGCACTAGGCTGAGCTCGAGGAGTCCAGCTGAAGTGTGGGAGGAGGAATTCATGAGCATGGGACCGAACTAGGGTCCTTTTTACCTAGCTTCTCTGGAGCTGGAAATTGTAGCCTGGTTATCTTTGCTTTATATCTAGTATCCACTTATGAGTGAGTACATACCGTGTTTGTCTTTCTGGGTCGGGGTTACCTCAATTAGGATGGGTTTTTTTTCTAGTTCTATCCATTTGCCTGCAAATTTTATGATGCCATTATTTTTTTTCCACTGAGTAATACTCCACTGTGTAGATGTACCACATTTTCTTTATCCATTATTTGATTGAGGGGCATCTAGCTTGTTTCCCATTTCTGATATTATAAATAAAGCTGCAATGAACATAGTTGAGCAAGTGTCCTGGTATATTAGAGCATCCTTTGGGTATATGCCCAGAACAGTATCGTTGAGTCTTGAGGTAGATTGGTTCCCAAGTTTCTGAGAAACTGCAATACTGATTTTCAAAGTGGCTGCACAAGTTTGCACTCCCACTAAGAGTGTAGAGTGTTCCCCTAACTCCCACATCTGCTCCAGCATAGACTGTCATTAGCATTTTTGATCTTAGTCATTCTGACAGGTGTAAGAGTCATTTTGATTTGCATTTCCCTAACAGCTAAGGATTGAACATTTCTTTATGTGTATCTCAGCCATTTAAGATTCTTCTGTTGAGAATTCTCTGTTTAAATCTGTATCCCATTTTTAATGGGATTATTTGGTATTTTGATGTCTAGTTTCTTGAGTTGTTTATATATTTTGAATATCAATTCAAAGTCCAATGTGGGGTTGGTGAAGATCTTTTCCCATTCTATAGGCTGCCATTTTGTCATATTGACAATGACATTTGCCTTACAGAAGCTTTTCAGGAAGTCCCACTTATTATTTATCTCTGGGTCTATGCTGTTGGTGTTATACTCAGGAAGTAGTCTCCTGTACCAATGCCTTCAAGGCTACTTCTCACATTCTCTTTTATCGTAGCTTCAGTGAAACTGTATTTATGTTAAGGCCTTTGATCTACTTGGACTTAAGTTTTGTGCAGGGCAAAAAAGATATGGATTTATTTGTATTCTTCTACATGCTGCTATCCAGTTATGTCAGCACCATTTGTTGAAGATAATTTCTTTTATTCATTGTATATTTTTGGCTTCTTTGTCAAAAATCAGGTGTTCATAGTTGGGTGGATTATGTCAGGGTCTTCAACTCAAATTGATCCACGTATGTTTTTATGCCAATACCAAACCGTTTTTATTACTATAGCTCTATAGTAGGGCTTGAAACCAGGGATGGTGTTAGCTCCAGAAGATCCTGTAATGTACAGGATTGTTTTAGCTATGGTGGGATTTTCATTTTTCCATATGAAGTTGAGTATTGTTCTTTTGAGATCTGTGAAGAATTGTGTTAGGATGTTATGGGGATTGCATTTAATCTGTAGATTGCTTTTGATAAGATTGCCATTTTTACTATGTTAATCCTACTGATCTCTTTCCTAATTTCTTTCTTCAAATGCTTAAAATTCTTGTCATATAGTGTAGCAGGCTTAACAAAAATCCAGACATGCACATTGGGGTTCAACCTGAAGGTCAGAAACAACAGCCACTGGCTCTTACCTCTCTCTCAGTCTGAAATGGTGATCCTGCTTCCAGGAATCTCAGAATGAGACTGTAACTATGACATGTCTCTTCCCATTTTGTATTCCTCTCTAGTGCTGGGATTAAAAGCATGCACCACCACTGCCCAGCCTCTATGGCTTACTAGTGTGACTGCTGGGATTAAAGGTGTGCACCAACACTGCCAAGCCTGTATGGCTGACTAGTGTGGCTGCTATGCAGTGAATTTCAGGCAAGCTTTATTCATTAAAATACAAATAATATACCACTATATTTCCCCTTTTTGTCTAAAATAAAAAGAAAGGCTGTAACTAATATAAGAAAAGTGTGTGTGTGTGTATGTGCAATAACTATATACAATATATACAAGCAGTAAATACATCAACAATATCTAGTCCATTTGCACAAAGTCCTTTCAATGGTCTGCAGAAGAATCAGTAAAAATGAATTCCATCCCATCATCTTTGCAACCTCATTTCTTACAGCTTATCACTTGTTCCTTTCACAGTAGGTATAGTTTCCTTTCTTGTTCTTTATTTTAAATTATTTTTTCATTCATAATTATGTATATACATGTGAGTCTATACATGGGTGTGTGTTCTGTTCCTCAGCAGCCAGAAGAGGTGGACAGGTTACCTGGAGCTGGAGTTACAGGTAGTTGTGATCAACATGATATGGGGACTGAACTCATTTCCTCTACAAGAGCAGTATGTACCCTTAATCATTAAGCCATCTCTCCAGCCCCTTCTATTTTGTTCTTCAAACATGCCAAGAGTATTTCTAACTCAGGGCTTTTGTGCTTTGTCTCCACGTGTTTGTAATTCTTTTCTGAGATAGTTACATGGATTGCTTTTCACATCCATCAAGTTATCAGACCAGCAGCTTCCAAAATCTTTGAATAGCTTACCGATAGTAGGGAACACATCCATCCATCTGGATATCATTGCTGACCGACAGCCCAGAATCCTGCTCTTTAGCCTTACCTATGGAACAACTAAGATTCTGGGATACAAAAATGGGAAAAAAAACTAAAACAGCAGTTCTCAATCTGTGGTTGTAACCCCTTTGGGGGTCAAACAACTCTTTCACAGGGGTTGCCTAAGACCATCTGAAAACACATATTTGCATTATGATTCAAAACAGTAGAGAAATTACAGTTATGAAGAAGTAATGAAAATAGTTTTATGGTTGGGGAGTACCACAGCATGAGGAACTGTATTAAAAAGTCACAGCATTAGGAATATTAAGAACCACTGACCTACAAGGAGATCACGGAAACCCTAGACAGTAGTGCTGTCATAGCCCAGCAGTGGGTTTAGGGAAAGAAATGAAACAAATTGTTCTTAGAGGATTTGTTGATAGAATGACTTCTGATTAACTAAGCTTTTCAGGAAATTGTATGGAAAGGCAATAATCTTCCTTTGCTCTTCAAAATCTCTCCTTCACAGACAATCTAATCCCTTCATGACTTCAATTGTTCTCTTCTTTGCAAAGTAAGTCACCCCATTATTTTGAACATCAAGCAAAGGCAGTCAATTTGCTTAAGACATACAGACATAAATTTCTCAAACTCAGACCATTTTCCTCCGTCTTCACTGTTATCACCATTGTCCAAGCCATTACTAACTCTAATTGGAACTAATTCAATATCTTACCCTTCTCCCTATTTCTGCTCATTCACACATCCATGACACATTCCCAAAATATGTAGTTATTTTATCATACCATGTCTGATTAAGTCATTCTCCACCCAAATCACACTCTACTCATGACTACAAGGTTCTCCATCATGTCCAGTTGTGAGTTCTATAAAAATAGTAATATTACTTTCTTCACTAAAGTTTCTCCAATTTATAGAGCAGATATATTGATGAATAATCAGTAAAAATTTATAT